CCAAATTAATATTTTTTGTAATGGATTTTGAAGTTCAAGGTATTTTCTATAAAATGAGATATAATTTAATATATTAAAAATAATTATTGTTTTCATTATATTCATGTGAAATAATCATCTTTCTGGCCTATATTTTAAATGTATTTTTTATGTTTAGCTAAAGTTATAGTTGTGACCCCACAATAATCTACAGTTCATATGTATGCCAATGTGTTTGTCGCGCTTTTAAGATGACAAATGGTAAAAAAATTTTTGCCGAAATTTGCCTATGTGCCTATAATCTTAAAAATACTAACATAGGTTAGGGTAAGGTTTTTAAATTTTTTTTTTTTTTTTTTTTTTTTTTTTTTGTTAAATAAAGATTTAATATCCTTAAAATATTGTGTAAAAGTTTTACATCGATTATTACAACATTGACGAAGTTATGGGTAGTTGAACGGAAGTCGTTTGGTGTTCGATGTATGAAAATCACAAAGTTTAAAGCGTTCTCCTGAAAAATGCCATTTTGAAAATCGGTGTACTCTATAACTCAAAAACTACTTAACCAATCGGTTTGAAATTTTGAACATAACTTTGAAATTTATTTGTACAGGTACTCACGTAAAGCTTTTTTAAATTTTTAATGTTAATATATATATTTTTTTAAATTAACTTAATTTTTTAGTCGAAAATTGGGGTTTTGACTTCCAATTTTGATAAAAAATCGGGAAAAATTTTTAAAAATAAAAACGTCTCTTAAGTACCTTGGGGCACTAATTCTTTAAGGAATGCAACAAATTTTTTTGATATCGGACGTTTTTGTGGACAGTTAGGATGTACACCGAAAACCAACTTTTATTTGTGGGGACTCAGGAGATTAGCAATATAGCGTAGGCCTGTAAATATTTTTTAATACAAAAATTAAAAAAAAAATGGCTCAAATGTTTTGTTAATTTATGGTATTTAAATCATTAAGCTAACTGTAGTCGTTTCGCCAAAACATTTTTTTGAACAATGGACAGTTTAGCACCGAATTAGCCTTACCCCCCTTAAGCTGTGTGCATTTGTTGCTAAACAAATAAAATACACAATATATAAGTTAATATTTTTTTTTCTACTTTTGACACTTATATTTCACCAACATTCTCATTAAGAGATAAAAAATTAATTTTAGCTCTTGGAAAAAAATAATTTTATAAAAATTTTGTATGGGAGCTATAAGATATAGACTTCCGATTTTAACCAAATTTGGTAAGAATGCATAAACCTGTTTCAAACATATTATCTGTGAAATTGGTTAAGATATTTGGAAAAACAAAAAAGTTTTTCATACTAAATGTTGATTTTTAACAGATTGTTCCTATGGCAGCTATATGATATGGACGTGCTACATGGCCAATTTTTTGGACATATACTTAAAACATTTTTCTTGATTTTTGGTATTAATTTCGTAACGATACATCAACTAGAACTATTTTTGGCCGCGTCTCCATACAAGCCCAACCACTGTGCACCCCCATCTATGGCTCTTCTCACGCCAATGCGCAATACACTTCCACTTTATGCACATTTCCGGATTCGCGCGACAAAAAAACAGAGAAAGGAGAGTATGGCAAAGGAAAAGGACGAGCCAGGAGGTATGAATATAGTTTTCCGGCTACCAAAATACCTTAAACTGGTATCTTAGGATCTTCCAATATATTTTCTTAAATTAAATCAAAGCAAGAAAAGTGAGACCAGTATAAGATTCTTTACAATTTAGTTTTTTGTAATTATGTATTTTAATATTATATTAATAATATCCTAGCAAATTTCGTAACATTTCTCCTGTAAAAAATCAAATGCTCTCCTTGTCAGTTCACGACTATAGGGTACTCAAAGGAAAACTAGCGCGCAGAATGCCAGCCGCACACTGATGTTGCCGCTTTCGCGTCTGACATGTGTAACTAGGGGCGTGTATAGCGGGGCGGACACGGAAATGCCATTGCATTTGGCCAAGAACCAACAACAAAGGGGCCGCAATAGGGGCGGCGTTCTCAGAACCAGACGATGATGCATCGGATCGTTTCCATTTGAAGTGGCATCAAAGCCGTCATCATTCTCACTTTTGTTGCAGCGTGCTGTTGCTGTTGCTGTTGCCGCTGCTGCTGCTGTTTGTGCTGCCATTGTTGGAGCATCGCGTGCATTTTCTACTGGTGTCGCAGGACCAAACCTTTCTACCTTATTGACTGCGGCAGCTTTTTTTCGCCACATTTTCATGCCATTAGCGTGGCATGGCGTGAAAATCGATTGATAGCATCTGCGGTCGAATGAGGATTATGTTAAATTTTTAATTACTGGCTTGATTCTGGCAGTGGCTGAGGTCAATTAAGGAGGCTTTAAATAAAACAATCAATCGATTTTTGAGTCGACGCTAATCTGCAATAATGATTATTGAAAAAGAAAATAAATAAGCACTAAATTCGTAGGAAAATTGAATGACCAATATGATTTCCCAGAACTATAATACGATTTAAAGAGATAAAGCTTAAATTACGACAATAATATAATATATAATAATGTAATTTATCGCTGCTAGTCATCCCACTGTGCGCAAAACGCATTACAGCCCTAAAATGGCAGGCATTTAGCCTGCGTAACCGAGGTAATGGGCGAGGGGAAGTCAGCGGATGGCAGCTTAATGCTGACACATCTGGACGGAAACTGGATCGTTTCGCAACCAGTTTATTGGGTTAAGTGCGACGAGAGTGTTTGTGCGAAAGCGAATTTGATTTTTCACTTATGCGCACTTGACAAGCGATTTTCGTGCGTTTTCGCTGCGATTCGCGGGCGGCTTGCAACGCGCTTAAGTGGAAAATGGAAAATGTGGCTGCCTACTTTTGGGCCGCCTTATCTGGCAGTGGAAATGTCTTGATCTGGGTTACACTACTAATCCCCCTGCTAAGCCTTTGTTTGTCCTGCCCCTCTGGTTTAGCCTTTATTCTTTATTTGTCCTCTTGGCTTATCTGCGGCGCCGTGTCCATGGCCATTTTCCGGCTAATGATCAAAGTGCCTGGCATCGCAGCGATGTCCCAATGGGATTCGTTACTTTCCCGGTGATTTTGCCCCTCTCCATTTCTTCATCTCCTTTTTTCCAGCTCTCAGCCGCCGAACATAACAATGTAATCGAGTGTAGACACTGTGATAAAGTTGAATTGCCCTGCTGAGAAGAAAAAATGTTTTGGCAAATGGGCCAACGTGGCGGATACTTGATTTTTTGCGCCTTCTCTTCCTCGCCATGGAGTGCAAATGCTGAATTATAGTTTTGTGTGTGGCAGCAGGATAATTAAAGTATGGCTGGCAGTTTATAGCCTTTGCTGGCTGCACATTAAGTCCGGCAAAGAATGCCTTTCAATTATGCCCCGTCCCACCACCCCGCTGTGCTCATCGAGCTCGCAACTACAACGCTCGGGCGCACCTGTGCACGCGCCTCAATGCGCACGGCTGCGCTTTTGGCAATCATCGTGGCTCCCTGCACTTGGCTCCCGCGCTCCTGGCTGACTTCTAGTTGCCTCCCTTTTGCGAGTTGGCCACCTGCCATGTTTGGGTATTAAAATTGCCCATGGATCATTTGCAATTTTAACAGTTTTTCAGTTCAGAACGCTCTTTCTCTCTATTGCTGCACTTTATCCATACTTGAATATGTATGGAATGGTTGCCATCAACTGAAAATCAATTTAAAATAACTGTATGCCCCTAAAAAAAGTGCACAAAAATCGGGAATAACGAAGCCGTAGTACAGAATAATTGCGTATACGCCGCGTTGGGTTTATTGTTCGATTCGAAATGGAAGCAAGAACTGAATTAAGTGTGAAATGGCATAAAAAATGAATGCGGAATTGGGAAAGCGTAGCTTAACTTTATAGTGAAATACGTAAATCTGCTATGAAATATTCAGGGTCATAAATCATACAAAATTAATCAAGAGTGCTGCTGCATAGTTCAACTAGTTTTTATTTCCTTTGCATTCGTATCTATAAAATTCACCGTAAAAATATGCAAACTTTTCCACCTATGGTCAAGCGTATAAATAAAACAAATGTCACCTGAACTTTGGCCTTTTCGAAGTGCCATAGAAGCAATTTGCTGCCATCCTAAAAATTGAAATACAAATTTTAAATAAATTGCATACAAATGCGCTTATTCAATTTCGGAAACAACAAAGTGGAAAATAAAAGAAAAAGTTTGCTCTAACCGCAAAGCACTTGACACGCTCAGCTGCTGTCCAATGTAATGGACATCTCTCCGTCCATTTGCCTCTTCTTCTTTTTTTTTTGCGATGTTGTCGGATGAAAGACGACCTGCTGGGAGTGTGTCCTGGCGTGATTCTAAATCCCCCTGCTATGCAGATGCAGATACCATACATCCACTCCACACACTCTTGGCCAAAAACAAAACTTTGCAAAATACCAATATATGCAAATAAATTTAAGCTTATTTCTCCTAGATGGACGACCGAGCGAGCTCCTTGTTGTTGCTGCTTGCTCACTTGCTCGTTTGCTTTCCGCTTTATGCAAAAGCCATCAATGTTTCGGCCAGTGTAAGGTGAGAGAGGGAGTATCTCCGAGTGTTTGTTTGCTTTATCGTCGAGCTGTTGGATAAGCAAAATAATGGCATTCAGTTCAGAGGGTGCCATAAACAAAGGCAAGAATCTATCGGCAAACAATGGGATTGCACATAAAAAGCACTAAATAAGGAAAGGGAAAACGTGGAGCGAATGATAGGAGAAAACATTCTCAATTTGCCAAGAACATCGGGCGGAATTATTTATGAACAGGAAGAGATGATTAGCTTGTCTGTGTACAACACTGGTTTTACATTTTCAAAGTCAATTTAATTAAAACGGATACGAAGAGAGATTTCCCTCAATATAAATGTTTACAATTTAATTTATTTGAAGTTTCATTCTTTGAAAATATTTCCATTCCAATTGTGTTTTCAACAAAAATCCACAAATCTAAATAGTTAAAAAACCAAATAAGTTGTATTTAATAACTACACATTTTTCGAAAAGCTTTATTTCAAATGAAACTTAAACTGAATTAAACAAATGGAAAAATACAGAGACTGACCACAGACAATATCCAAAGGATCTATATGTGCGTATATAGAGATGTAGATCGTAGACATAGAGCAAGGGGTTAGCGTCGGAATTTAGATCACCTAAACTTGACGAACCAAATGGAGTTCCCTCTCGGAGGGTATAATGACTCCTTCTTAGGAGTTCTTCTGTGGCACCTTCACAATAACACTCTTAACCTCCGTGTAGTTGGACAGGGCGTACTCGCCGTTCTCGCGTCCATGGCCGGACATCTTGTAGCCACCGAAGGGAGCCTGGGCGGCCAACGCATTGTAGGTGTTCACCCAAACAGTGCCAGCACGCAGGCCACCGACAATGTAGTTGGCCTTGTCCAGATCCTTGGTGAAGACGGCGGCAGCCAGACCATAGTCCGAGTTGTTGGCTCGCTCAATCACCTCATCGAGTTTCTTGAAACGGATTAGCTGCTGGACGGGGCCGAAGATCTCCTCGCGGGCAATGGTCATGTTGTCCTGGACATCGGCGAAGACCGTGGGCTGAACAAAGTAGCCGGGAAGACCCTCTGGACGACTGCCGCCGGCCACCAACTTGGCTCCCTGCTTCTTGCCGGTCTGGATCAGGCCGAGGATCTTCTCCATCTGCTCCTCGTTGACCTGGGGTCCCTGCTCAGTGTTCAGATCGAAGGGATTGCCCACGGTGCGCTTCTTGGCACGCTCCGCGCTGCGCTCCACAAACTCATCGTAGATCTTGTCCTCCACAAAAGTACGGGATCCAGCGCAGCAGCACTGGCCCATGTTGAAGAACAGGCCAAAGTGAGCCGTCTCCACAGCGTAGTCCAGATCGGAATCTCCCAGGATAATGTTCGGCGACTTGCCGCCCAACTCCAGGGTGACCCTCTTCAGGTTCGTGTTGCCCGAGGCCAGCTGGATGAGCTTGCCCACATCGGTGGATCCGGTAAAGGCCACCTTATCCACATCGCTGTGGTTAGCCAGGGCAGCGCCAGCTGCTCCAAAGCCGGGAACCACATTGACCACGCCCTCCGGGAAGCCAGCCTCCTTCACCAGCTGTGCAATGTACAGGGCAGTCAGACTGGTCTGCTCCGCGGGCTTCAGCACAATCGTGTTGCCGGTGGCCAGGGCGGGTCCCAGTTTCCAGGCCATCATCAGGATGGGGAAGTTCCAGGGAATGATCTGACCACACACACCCACGGGCTCGTGGCGGGTGTAGGTGAAGAAATCTCCATCCATGGGAATGGTTTTGCCATGGTTCTTATCCGCCCATCCAGCGAAGTACCTCAGATTCTTGATGGCCGTTGGCAAATCCACGTTGTAGGACATGCTGTATGGCTTGCCATTGTCCAGGGTCTCCAAGCTCTACAATAGCAATTTGTAATAAGTAAAATAGATAATCTGAAGATTCTCTGATTCAATTAAGTTTGAAATGTTAACAATTTACAAAACAATTTGTTCTCATTTTGCAGATGCATTGCATGTCATCATGCTACACTTTATAAATTAACTATTTATCTGTTAAAAGGAAATTGATACTCACAGCCAGGTAGACCTGATCACGCTCCATGAGATCAGCCAGACGGTAGATAAGACGACCGCGCTCCGAAGCATCCATGCGGCGCCAGGGAGAGCCCAATCTACGGTTTAAAAATATAATTTAAATCACAATTTATAGAAACTTCATATCAGAAGCTTACTTGAATGCACTGCGGGCGGCTTTCACGGCAATATCAATATCCTCCTTATCGCCAGCCTGGATTTCGGCGATAGTCTGCTCCGTGGTTGGATTGATGGTGCCGAAAGTCTTGCCCGACTTGCTCTTGTGCCACTCATTGTTGATAAACAGCTGCAATAAAGTTAATGATTAACAATGGCTTTGTTTATGGCCATATCATTTTCATAATCCGGCATATTGAGTTTTGTTTTGATATTACAAAGCGTCAACAAGCCGCTCCCCTTGACTCTGATGTTTGTTATTATAAGCTGTTTGTGCGTGTGTAGTTGCCAATTGAATAATCGCAATCGGCTGATTGTTCAGTTAGCATGTGTAGCTGACAATCCCCCAGCCACTGTAATCTGAAACGTTTACCGGTTAAATGATTAGAATCTCAAGTAATCTCATCCCTCGTCATTTTGTTTTTATAATTGTTTTTTATTATTATTTCTTCTCTATACATATATTTTTATATTTGTCTGAACCTATTCAGTATTTCACCACCGGGGCTGCGACTATAAAACTTTCCGCTAGACATCGCCAAACATAAATATACACATAAAAATATAAAGACACGTGCGAAACTTTTCGGCTGTCTGAGACGTGGCTAGACGATCGAACTAGTTATGGAGGCTTGACTTTATTAAGTGTGGCATGTTATCTACATATGTAGTAAGGGTCCGGCAACTGGCGATAAGCAGTGGAAACTACCAATGGCAGTGTATAAGTAAACATATGGCCATAAGTAGGTGAATCAACCAGGAACTTACTACTTACTTACTAAGAAAGTTAACTTTTTATTGAAATATCTATTGGAAATATCTTAAATATATAATATCTGGTTATGATCGATTTTCATAATGCAATTGTATAGGAACTTCGGTTTCCCAAAGCCAGCTTAATTCTTTTTTCTCATATGTGGTTTTTAGTTAAAATTAAATGCAATTCTAAATTATCTTGGTGGTTTTATATTTGATAATTAGTTTATAGCTCCAGCTCCCTAGTTCCCAAATACCATTTGCTGCTCCCTAAAGAATTTATTCCCATTAAGTAGAAAATTCCTTCAGCTGATTTCGCTTATACCCATATATGCTAAAATATTTGCTCAAATCCCCTGATAAATCTGTACACAAAAACCATTTTACTAACCAGTAACCACAAGCCCCCCTATCCTCCCTCTCAATTAAATGCGACAAACACTAGTTCTAATTGTCAGACTAATGGAAAAAAATAAAGCTTGTAAAATTGTAGAACTTATGCAAATTTCCCCAGCGGCTATAGGAACCGCAGAAAATAAGAGAGAGACGCAGAGAGTATCGAAAGAGAATTCGCCAGCAAACAAATTTGTTTTTGTTAGAGCTTCTGTGACATAACAAAGAAAGGAAGAGCCAAAAGGGAAGGCAACGGCAAACAACGAAAATCAGAAGCAGAAATAACAACAATAAAAGCCGGCGTCTGAATTCGCTTGCATTCGTTGTTATTTTTGCTTTCGATTTCGCCTTTGTCTATTTTTTTTTAGCCGACGGTTGGTCTTTCGATTCGCTCCGACAGGCTAATCCCCTACAGCTGGCGATAAACATTCGGTGTACGTGATCGGAATGCTGCGAGGGCTGGGCCCATGTCGCTCATCTGCCAATTTATTTGGCAAACCGACGAAATGGGGGGAAGAGTGAACTGGAAAACCTAAAAACTTGATTTCGCAAATGTAGGGCATTAGGGAAGGGGGTAGGTGGCATCGCGCGATAACAGCTGCAGTTGCCGCCGGCCCCAAGGTCAACTCAAAAACATGTTTAATTTGTGTTTCTCTTTTTGTTGATTTCTTTTTCAGACTTTTTTTTTGATAACTGCGATAACTAAGTTATAATTGTTTGCTTTTTTTATTATTCTGGACACTCACCCCGGTGTAGAGGATATCGGGCGTGGTCTGGGGCTGCGGCAGGGCGGAGTAGTTGGCCACGGCAGCGGCAATGTTCTTGGTCTGCGATCGCAGCAGGGCACCGGTCTTCAAAACGCGCAGCATTTTGATCTAAATTCTGTTGGGTTCTGATTTTACCGGATAAGAGAGGCGAGAGTCGAGAACTGGGGGAACTAGAAACTAGAACTGCGTGTTAATTGCTCAGCGGTCGTCGGGCAAATGAGCAGATGCCGAAGCGTTGCCGCTCGCGAAAGCTATGGGGGAACTTTTTAAGAGTTTCGCAGCGAATTCGACGACACGCCACCAGTGCTGACACATTGAGTGACAGCTACATAAGTGGCTAAATTCTATCCCTAAAAAAAAAACTAAAGTATTTGTAAAAAAAATATATATATTTTTAAAATTTAAAAATGATTTAACTTAATATACTATACAATTTGATTTAAGTAAATATACAAAAATTTTATAACTTATTAAAAAAAAAATGATAGTGGTAATTATGCATTTAACAGAATTAACTTACGTTCTTAATTTCTTCATTAATTATATTTCTAATAAAATAAATATATATGTAGCTCTTAAGTTTAAAAGCTTATTTGCCAACACTTTTGATAAGGCCAGAATGAGATAGAAATACATATATATATACATTGATACCGTGCCATCTCTTAAGTTCGAAAGAGAGAGATAAGATACAACCACAACAAATAGTATAAAAAACTAAAAGTATCTCAAATAAATTGCATTTGCATATGTACATAGATTCTACTTTGTATGCGAAAGAGAGATTATTATAATATTGTTTATCAAATTGCCATGCTTTGATAGAATTAGCGTGGCAAACCGACAAACGGTATAAATTATCATACGATTTAAATAGCTGGGAAGAGCAAACATTCTAGAATTTTATGCTATGACTTGCGAATTATTGGCAGAGAGAAAATCTTTCGAATTTCATGATAGCGGGAAATTGTATTGGAATAAGGTTAAACAGAAATAATTAAAAATAAATAGAGAAGCTTATCAGCATTAAGGTGCAAGTCAGTCAATCAATAAAGCATTTCAGAATCTTTAGAGTGATAAGAGAATAAAGCAAATATTATTCCACAGGTTGAACTTAGTAAACAAAATGTAAAGATTAGTCCAGAAAACAAAGAATCTTCTTTAATTCTATATACAGATTTGTATCCTCTGCTTATTGTAATCATTATCTTGGTTATTGGAGGATAGGCGTTTTGGCAAATATTCTATTTATATACATATATATTATCGCTTTTCTTATCAATTAAAAGCAAAAGTAAAATGATAAGCAGATTCAGCTTAAGAGTAACAATCCCATGGAATATTTTTCTTTTTTATTGATCGTTACTTTAATGTTTGTTTTGGCGTTGCTCTTCCATTCAATCAATGTTTCGGCTGACTCTTCAACATTTTTCATCTTGTGCCATTTACTCGAAATATAAATTATTTTTAGCATACTTCGCGGCTGTCGGCCATAACACAAGCACGGAATTGATGGGCGAAAAGAGGACGAAATGTATTTTTGTACATAATTCATTAAATACGATTTAGACCAATTTGTCAAAATCTGTGGAAATTTATTTCACTCGTAAATTGAGAGCTCGGCGCGGCTGTCAGGCGAATCACGCATACGCATCGTTGGCCGGTATGCGGCCCACCGAAAAACCAATCACAGGCGGAAAACTAAATCAATACAAAGCCAAAAATGCCCAGAAAATGCATACAATTGAAAGGGGATAAGGAGAGGAGGGAGGAGGGGCGTGGCGCTGAGTAAACATTTGTTCAAGTCCCGCTGATTTTCCCGGTCCAATTACCAACATCGAATAAACTTTAATGGTCATGCCGCGGACGGAGCCTGTTATTGATGACTCGGCGGCTGTTGCCACTGCGGTTGCTTTCACTGCCGCTGCTGTCCTCGGCGGCATGAAATATTTAATAACCAGGAGCAAACAGTTTGGCGTAAAAAATAAATTGCATATGGACAGCTCCGGCACAGCTCAGCGCCGCCAGGACATGCACTTAACTGTCACTGATTGCAGGGTCCTGTCCCGGAGCCTGGGAATGTGCGGGTTATAAATGCGAAAATGAAATTTACAACAATTTGTTGGAAATGACTTTCAATTGAATTTAATTACCGCTGGTGGGAGTCGTTGCAGCACCTCGTGCTCGTATAATTTTATGGATGATTACGTAAATTAAGTTTGGTTTTGTGTGAGTGGCGTGGTGATACTCGTGTGGGTAGCCCAGGTGAAGTGAAGGTGGGAATCTGATTAACTGTGTATTATTTGCTTGTTTGGGGAATTGAAAATTACGCTTTCAAAGGGAGCAACTCGTGTAGTTAAGTTTGATTATAGTTAACTTTCTCAATTTATTACATTTCTTGTAAAATTTAAAAATAGTCTTAGCCAAATCATGCATCATAAATCTCAAGTAAACATCCTGGAACTTTCCCTTAGTTTTTTCCTCGAACTATTAGCATATTCAAATCATGGAAATGCTCTGCTGAATTCACTTTTGTTTGCCATGCAAATATTAACAATCGCCAGAGTAGAATAAATGGAAAATCCATCAATTTTGTGCGGTAATGATCTCTGTCAAAGGCCAAATCAAACAAAGGAAACTCTAGACCAGAGTCTACGTGACCCACTTTGGCATTGGCCAGCAGCACAATCTAAAAACCTTAATGCTTTATGGTTTCTTTGGCCAACAAGAATAGCACAAGAGTGCAAAAAAAGGGGAGAGAGCAGAACAGAGTGTTGGGGAAAAAATAAAGCGAAATATATGCAAATGGCTTATGCCTGGGTTTTGCTTACACTTGCTGGACCCTCCTACCATGTATTTTTTTTTTTGCCCTTGCATGGCTCCACCTTTTTTTATCGCTCACTTTTTCAGACTCGACTCGATTTAATGGTTACTCGCAGCCGGAAGGGTCAAGTTATGGCTCCAGTAATTTGTTAAGTTATTATTCCGCACACATGGCTTATGCGCAATGCGTACTAGCAATTCACATGCAAATTTCCGGAAATTTATGCTCATCCCTCGCTCGTTTTCCATTACAGATATGAAACCTACAAGGCCACGCTCAAGAAAATCCCCGCAACACGTCTCTCCCGACTGACCGAAGCCCTGGCCAACTACGATCCGGTACTCAATGAATACTTCTTCGATCGCCATCCGGGTGTCTTCACCCAAATCCTCAACTATTACAGGTGAGTGTCGTGTCCCGGCGTTAAGCCGTGCTAATTAAGCTGCTGAAAGCTGTTTAGACGTGCAATGACTGAGAACAAGTGCTGGGTGGGGCAGAGCACTCTCCTTTAAGCATGGTAATTACATCATTTAGCCCAGGTGAAAAGTGGGGGCCAGCCGAGACATTTTCCTGGGAAAATGTTCTTATTTATTTCTTATTTTATCCTTGCCCCCCCTGGGCATTTCCAAAGTGGTCTATACAATAATTAAGCTGATTAATGGCACTGTAAAAACATATCAAGAGTCAGTTTTGCGTTATAGATTGCTTGAATAATAAACAAACTAATAATTTAATTGCCGCTCCGCGAACATGACGAACTTTTCGGTGGCCATTAATCTCGAGTTTTTAAGCTGCGAAAGTTTATTCCGTATTTTTTGGGGTCATTAGCGAGCTCATTTATCTTTGCCGTGAGCTAAGGTGTGATGACTTAAGTTGTTTAAAATTAATGAAAGTTTGTTTTGCTCATCGCCCGGAGGAGCAGGAGCTGCAGCTGCAGACGAGACTGCTGTTGGGCGAAACAACGCTGTCAGCATCGCATGGCTCTTCATCTTCATTGATTGGGCAGGAGCGTCCGTTACCCCATTACTCCATTTCCTCATCCCACACCCTCCCTATACCTTGTATAGCTCTGGGGGCTTTGGCCAAACAGTTTTCCAACTCAATTAACCAGGCACCGGCAACCAGGAAAAACGGTGTCAAAGGAGGGCAGCATCGGAAAAAATACTGCAACATCCCGCGTTGATTGGAAATGAAGAGGAGTTCCCCATGGGGGTTATGATGATGGAGCTAGGGTCCTCGGGCACTACTGCTCCCTCGGGGAGTGGGGGTTCTATAATCAAATTATGCACGCACCAAATGCTTCAGACAATTTGTGTGTAAAGATTTGATATAGATAAATGGCGGAAGTGGAAGCTAAAGTGCAGTACAATGGCAAGGGACTGTGCGCGTTTGGATTGTTATTTATCGATTACACAGAGACATCAATTGTGCATGCACTTGGCGGCAGAGTTAATAATGTGTCAAAAGCACATCCGAGGTTTTAATTAAAATCAGCATTGTTCTAAGACATGTTTATAATATCATTATTTGGGATACGGCTGAATGCTTTTGACTTGCACATAAATTAGACTTCAGATTTTGCAATGGTGTATTCCGTTTGAAATTTGTGTTGGAATTTGAGGGATTCACTTTATTTAAATTAAAATGTAAAATTCACCTTGCAATTAATTTACACTTCTCATATCTTACTTACCAATTATTATTCATGGAATGCAACCATTAACCTCTCTTATTGCGGTCACATTTTTTAAGAGGCTTCTCCTGACCCATCGATATAATTATTTATGCACATTAAAGAGTCTGATCAGCTCGCGTGCTTGTTGAGGTCAGCTATAAATATTGATTGCATCGGTTGAACGCTGCGTATGCGTAATATTTGTTATGCACACTTGATGAAGGAAGAACAAAAGGCAAGGATTTTCTGAGGTGGAGGCTGTGAATGGCACAGAGAGAGAGAGGGAGAGAGAGAGTTCACCAAAATGTAATTCGAGGCCATGGAAAATATTAAAATGCTGGAAAAGCTGTATGAAAAAGTGGGTGAATTGTGGATTTTACAGAGGAAACCAATTAAGGATCCACGTGAGTGTGCGGCGAGGATTATATCGAAAAGCCATGACAATAACTGCACTGCATTTCCAGAGATTACAGTCAGAGGGAGAAATACAAAATAAAATTTGTAGACTAAGGGATACCCTATTCTGGTAAAAGTTTCATAAATTGAAACAAAATGAAATATATATAAATACATAAAAGAGAGACCTAAATAAACAGAAAACTGCAACCATAAGTCAGCAGTTTTTATCTTGAAATATATATAATTCTCTTGCCATCAAAAGCAAACAGAAAATAAACTTCTATAAAAAGTTAGACATAAGAAAGAGAACCAGTTTCGCTTTGACTAACTCCTTAACTTTTCTTGACTTGCCTTGAGCCACGGGGTATCGCCACGTAAAAAAAATCATTCCATGAAAATGGTCGCGCAATTTTCTGGCGGACAAAATGTCAAAATGTCAAAGCTCGTTGCGGGTGGTATGGCCAGTAATCGAGCTGGATCAGGATCGTTGACTGAAAGCCGCAATTTGCAAGTCCGAAAACGTGGGGCAGTGGGGCAGAAATGCGCCTCATCCCGTCATTTCTTTTTCATTTCGTTTTATAATATTTTTTTCCGGCCATTCTTGGTGCGAAATGATTTTTTAAACTAGCACAAAAGCGCGGCACAAGAGAGCGAAATATGTTGCAGTGGCTGAAAAAAAGAGGACATTCAGAATTGTGCACACGTGGCGCACACTCAAAACTATGTGTAATGAGTGTGTGCGAGGGGGGGATGGGGTTGGGATTGGGGTTGGGTTGGAGAGTGAAGATATCATCCAAAAATAAAACCCGGCAAGGACTTGCCCCGCACTCGGCGACTGTCCGGCAGCTGATATGGCATTACAAGTTGGCCAACAACTGCGGACAAGGACGGGTTTCGGCCCCCCAAACCACCAACACAGTCTTTCCTTTTTTCGGAACTCCCTTGCAGCCATTTGCTGCAATTTGCTCACACGGAAACACATATATAAGCAGAGAAGAAGGAGGTGTTCCAACTAGGTGATACCCGGTACTTGCAAGATTAATATGAAAACTGAAACAATTGAACTTATAATTAGTTGATAGTTTTGGCTTATATGTTTGGCTTGGTTCATCTTATCTTTATTTATATATTATTTTAAAAGTATATACATATTTGTCCTGTAATAACAATCCCTATACTCCCTTAGTCCACGGGCTACAGGTAAAGAAACGAAAGCATAAAAAGTTGTTGCACATGGCCAAGAGAATGGAACAATGGCCAGGGCAGCATTATGAATATGCCAAGTGTCTGTGAAAAGGGGGTTTGGGGGTCATTCAGTGGAACGGGATGACCATGTCCGGTTCTTTGCCAGGTGGAAGAATACCCACACATTTACCTGCCATGCATATGCAAGTGATACGAGTTCCCACCGAAAACGGTATGCCTTTTGGCTGTGCAATTTGCAGCCACAAGTAGAGACGTGCCCGTACTCGACCATTATATTATTCGGTCCGACGTTTAGACCCCTGCATGCCTGGCCAGATCCATGAATTTGGTCACAGTGGGAGATTTTCAGGTAGCTTATGACTTAATTGATGTGTCTAATCATATTCAAGGCATCTCAACTTTGAATAATTTAGCTTGAGAAAGGCTTATGGTACTTGCATATGCATATAGACTGAAGGAAAATTATAAATCATGATCTCCGAATTTGAATTCGACTCTATTTTAAACCCTTTGAGTTTATTTTCCATTATCTCCTAGAACTGGCAAACTGCACTATCCCACGGATGTGTGCGGACCGCTGTTTGAGGAGGAGCTGGAGTTCTGGGGACTCGACTCCAACCAGGTAGAGCCCTGCTGTTGGTCAACCTATAGTATACATCGCGATACGCAAGTAAGTTTATAGATAAATCTTGAATTTAAGAAGGTAATTACTTAATGTGAATGACTTGATCTTCCTGCAGAACACCTTAGCCATATTAGATAAGCTAGATATTGAAAATGAAAAGCCCACGGAGGAGGAAATAGCCCGACTATTCGGCTTTGAGGAGGCGATGAGCAACGGCGAGCTTAACTGCTGGCAGCGTCTGAAACCCAAGATCTGGGCCATGTTCGATGAGCCGTCCAGCTCCACGGGTGCCAAGGTGAGGTGACCTCAGGAAACATTTTAAAAGTTAAATAATATAAACCTTGAAAATATCCCCCTCCACAGATCGTTGCCGGCATGTCGGTTTTCTTTATATTTGTTTCTGTGATATCCTTCTGCCTGAAGACCCACCCCGGCTTCCGCGTGGACCTGCCCATCACGTCCAATGGAACCTATGGCGCCGAAGCGGGCGCTCCGCCCCACGGACACGATCCCATGAGCGAGCCACCGGCGCAGACTCATCAGTACCATCAGCATCAGCACAGCATCACGCCGCCCAGTGGCAGCATTGGTCCCACCTTTCGTGTCACGAACTACACCAGCTACAGCAGCACCAACTTCACGCCGCCTGGCCAGACCACCCCCATTGCCACCATTAAGGGCGGGCAGAGGCAAAGGCTTCGACGGAACCTCATTGAAGGCAACGGGAGCAGCCTCATTGGGGGCCGTCGGCATGGCTGGAACGAGACCTACGGCCAGCCGCATGAGGCCTTCTTCTACGTGGAGCTGGTGTGCAACGTCTGGTTTTTCATTGAAGTTATCATCAGATTGATTGTGAGTACTAATAGCTATACTTATGTAAATCATATTATTTGTAATATATATAAATAATTTTATTTAGTAGAAAAATCATATGACTTAAGTGTATATTATTCTCTCACTTTTTTAGGTCTCCCCCAATCTGTGGCAGTTCATCAAGTCACCGGTGAACATCATCGACTTCACGGCCACGCTGAGTTTCTACACGGATGTGATGCAGCGGATGGGCGAGTACACGGGTCTCCTGGAGGCCTTTTCCATCGTGAGGATAATGCGGCTTTTCAAGCTCACGCGGCACTCACCGGGCTTAAGGATCCTCATCCATACGTTCAAGGCCTCGGCCAAGGAGCTGACCCTGCTGGTCTTCTTCCTCGTCCTTGGCATCGTGTTCTTCGCCAGTCTGGCGTACTATGCAGAGAAGTTACAGGTGAGGTTCCTTAATAAAACATAAATTAAGTAAAATAAGAGAATACCTACAAATATATCAATATATTTTATACGTTGTATAATTATGCAATTGTAATTATTTTTTTGATCTTAAAAACATATAATAAGCACCTACTTAAACCCAATATGGCTATAAACGTTTCTTTTGCAGGACAATCCGGACAACCAGTTCAAGAGCATCCCCCTGGGCCTGTGGTGGGCCATTGTGACCATGACCACAGTGGGCTATGGCGACGTGGCGCCCAAAACCTATCCGGGCATGTTTGTGGGTGCCCTCTGTGCCCTGGCCGGCGTACTGACCATCGCCCTGCCCGTGCCCGTCATCGTCAGCAACTTCTCCATGTTCTACTCCCACACTCAGGTTGGTTTTTCGGCTGGCCTTTGGATATGGTTTCCCCGATGTTTACCCGGTTTTCCTATTTCCAGGCTCGCTCCAAGCTGCCCAAGAAGCGACGACGCGTCCTGCCTGTGGAGCAGCCTCGTCGCAAGCGGGAGCCCACTGCCCCCCATCGCGGACGGGCGAATGCTTTCAAACAGACGCCACCCACTGGGCCAGGACTAGTGGCCGGTGGTGGTAATCCGGCCGGAGCAGCGGGTGCCGGCGGAGGAGGAGGTGGTGGTGGCGGTGGCCATGCCATGGGTCATCTCGCTGCTGGGGCGCCCATGTTTAAGGATGCATTCGGTGGAGCGAAAATCGGTGAGTTAAGCGACATGATGATATGGTACCCCGTACTCAGAGTGTAATGAAGTTGTTTAAATGCTTAAATTAAACTAAAAAAATATTTCTTTTAAAATTAAAAAATTCTTTTAGATCTGTTTAATAATTTTTCTCAAAATATCTCTTGCTTAATTGATAAAATACAATTTTAAAATGTATTAGTGCTACTTTAATCTCTTAAATAAAAATCTGAGTACAGGGTATTGGCAAGGTCGTTTATATCGACCTTTATCTACTTGTCAACACGTCTCTGTCTCCTTCTCTCAATGTCGGAATTTTATCAAATTTAATTTTCTATTTTTTTGTTGCTTTTTGGCCTGCAGATATTTAGAGCAGCCTCAGAGCCACACACAGACTAATCAAATACACTGACACACATGCGGCATACATTACACAGATACTCGCATACATGACACAGATACTCGCCTTGCTTCCCCCGCCTCGCTCTCGGGGCCAAATTAATTTCATTCAATTCCTTGTTTAATTATTTTATTATTTATGCACCCTCCACTGGCCCAGTCAGCTGTTATTTAGCATTTAGTATTCCCCGGGGTCCGGGCCCTGCCGGCCTCCCGAGTGATTGCGAGTGGTAAATTTCCATTTTACTGATTATTCAAAAGCACCGAAGGAGGATCCTTGGCAGGGAGCAGGAGCAGAACCAGGGACCTTCACCACATGCATGTGGATGGTTGACGATGACGTTGCAGGCCCCGGGGCCGAAGGACTTAAGTGGATATATGCACTCAACCGACGACAAGATTTCCCACTATCCTCCGCTCCCAGCAGCAGTTGTGCAATTGCAGAGCAATTTCGAGTTCACTGCAAAGGTTATAAATTTAATGTAGCACGAGGATTTATAATCGTTGTCGGTTTTGCTTAATGCTCTCGATTTGGCTCGGGGTCGCCTTCCGCCCGCTTGGTTAACTTTGCCGAGTCCATTAATGGGTATTTGACTATGGATAATCCCGATTATTTATGGTCTTGGTAAAGCGAAGACTGTGAACCTGCAGTAGTTTAACTCTTGACTAGTTTTGAAAGCTAAAATCGGACATGAAAAGACTATTCAGATTTGATTGAGCATAGTTTACTGTTTACAATCTTAATTGTGGGGTAAGGAAGGTCTTTAAAAGCTTTCAGAGATAGTTAAACAACAATAAGCTCAGGATTGTTAAGTAAAGAAAATAAAAATTAAATCTTAGACAGTTTTAATCCAGTTTCTTCGGCTGACTTGCAGGCAGTTATTCTTTATTAAATATATATTATTTTATTTAATCGAGAAACCACCTGAAAATCCTTTAATTGAATCTGATTTCCTTCGACTTTTATCGTTTTTATTTAAAAAATTGCTAAACCTATTGGAATATTCTTAATATTGGTGTATTTTGTTATTCTTTATCTCTGTGTTTTGGGGGGGTTTTATACAAATTTCAAGTCTTAACCCCTGTCCGCCTTTTAACCCCTTCTTACCCATCGATTTAATGTGACTGCCTATTGTTGTTTCATTCATTTTGTTCTTTAATGTTGCTCCTTCGTATTCGTAACTTGTAACTTTGTGTGTGTGTTGTTGCTGTAACGACATGTGACCGTATGCGTGTGCTGTAAATGTGTATGTAACTGTAAATGCATCCTTCCGAACTGCGAACTGAATGGAATCCAGGCACCGCGAATGTGAACGGCGTCAATGTCATTGGCCTGCATCATCCTGCGAGGACGACGACAACGATGACGACCACGACTTTGCTGCCAGATCCAGATCCCGATCCAGATCCGACGCCGCTGTCGACAATGACCTACCAAGTGCCTATGCCCGTGCTCCAGCCCCCGCCCACAGTCCACAGCCATGGCCACGCCCACGCCCATGCCCACAGTCATGGCGGGCATGGGAACGCCCATGGCCTTGGGCCCGCCGCGTCATCGCTGACTGGCTCGGCGGCTTCGGCAGCTGTTGTTGCCACAGCCACGGCAGCCGCACCCGCCGCCGGTCCCGCGTTCATCAGTTGTAAGTGCCGTCCCGTCCAGCGTCTCACTGTCTCTGTTGTCCCCTCAAATCCCCCTTTGACTTGTCCCTCCACCTCTGGTGTCTGCTTCTCTTGGCATGCTGCACGTGTAGAAATGTTTGTTTTTTTTCCCCATTTGCGGAAATAGGAATATTTCCGTTTTATGTCTGTGAAAGTGCACTGGGAAAAACAAAGTGACTTCCCTGCAGTACCATTCATCAACAATTCATCAACGTTTCATCAATAGCCGAAGGGGTGTTGTTGATGATTCATCGATGAATGGCCATACAAATTACTGATGAATTTAACATGGGCATGTCATAGGCATTCATCAACAACAATTCATCAACAATTAATCAACAATTCATCGATGAATTGTTGATGATTTTTTTTTTCATATATAAAAATAAAACTCTTAAATTTTTATTAATATTATTTATTCTAACTAATTCTATAACAAAACTAAAACACAAATATAAAAAATTAAGATTAAGCATCCATATATTAAGAGGCCTGAAGGTCTTTTTGATTCTTGGTGTTCCGCTTTTTATTCATGAAGACCAAATTTATTGCGCAGTATCTTCTCTGGAGGCTCAGTTTTAGTCACTTGGGAAATTGCATCTACAGAAAAAATTATAATTAATCAAGGGAAAATATATAATTTAATTAAATAAAATTACCCAATATATTGGCCATTACTGCAGTCTGAAAAGAAAATACATACATACATATATAAATATAATATATTAATATATTATATACATATAATAAATAAAATATTATATGTACATTTATAGGCTTCTATTTAATTAAGAACAATCTTTTTACTCACCATTTTTTATATTTCAATATGGCCCGGAACGTAATTATTGAATTATTTGATTTCTTAATATTTTTAACACACGACACTTCTGCAGTGGAGAACACTTCAACTTGTAATGCAAAGGGAATAAGAAGAAGCAAGACGAAACCGAAAGCCGAAGACCGAACATTTCTTTCCCCCTTCTTTCGCTCTATCACCATCTCTCTCTAATTTTCGGACAGTTGCGTTTCTTAGTTTGTTTCGGACTTCAATAAACGAAGCCCATGCAAATTGTTTTTGTTTTTTTTTTTGACATGCACCAACAAATCGGACTCGAAGGGAGTTCGGGTATCCGAAGGGAGTTCGGGTTCAAGTAGCAGTCGGCAGAGCGTCGATTCTGTCGACGTCGCAGTCGGCGCGTTGATGAATTGTTGATGAAAAGGCCTATTGATGAAATGTGGTACTGCAGGGTTAGTATTTAAGATTTCAATTACATATATTGAGCATTTTACAAGCCTATTAATTTTAAATACACATGAAATGTGCTCTAATTTCATTTATTTAAATTGTTAAGGGAAATATTTATGCATTTTTTTTGTTTATTTTAATTTTAAATATTTTTGTATACCACAAACATAATCTATAATTATGCAATAAATAATCTAGAACCCTTAAAAACCCTTTAAAACTTCTTAATATTCCATGATGTTTTCCTCTCTGTGTACTTTTCCGCCTAATGCCTTGGTAAGATCCTTTTACGGGCTTGCAGCAATTAGTGCTTTGGGCGGGCAGAGGCACCTCCCCGCACACTTGGCACGGTGTCATTGCCCCAATGGGCTTGTTAAAATTTATCGCATGCTATAAATCCTACCCGAATGCCATAACTTTGTCACTCCGACAGTCAGTCAATAAGAGGCAGCTTGCAACAAATATATAGCGAAAATAAGCAAAACAAAATATGGGGAAAACTTTTTATGTTTATTTGCATATTAAAAGCTTTTTGCCAACTCCTTTTTATTTCGGGCATTTAACTTTAATTACAATTTTATTATGCTAGCCGAAAATCCTTTTTATGTCATTTTTCAAAATGCCCCAAACACAGACGCACAAACATCTCTATATGCTCCTCCGATCCGACACACACTTGAACTCGCAAACACATATAGAGTAAAGTTCATTTATCGTCAAACAAATTGAAAAACTTTTTCCATTTGCTCGCCTGGAAAATCGCCCTGCTCCCAGAACCAAAACGAAGCGAAAAAAATTGAATCAAAAGTGTGAAAATATATGAGGAAGGAAAATCTGTCGAAAAATGGTGTATATAATGTGGGGAACCTGGTCAGGAGAATTTCTGCATGATGTGCATTTTAATTAAAGCCACAAAAGCTCAAGTGTGCAAGCTCAAACCCCGGCTTTTCTTTTTTCGCCTTTGTCCGAGCCAAATGAGGGTCGGAGGGGTCAAATTGGGGAAACGGAAGGTAGTTTGCGGCTCTCAAGGCGATTAATTTCTTGAGCCACTTGTGAGTTTGTAAAAAGTGCAAAAAAAAAAGAAGGAATCCAGTCCAAAGTTGCTTAGCAGAACTTACCCGGATGCCGGATGCTAAGGGAGGTGCCGACAGGGACTTTGAGGGCAAAGTGTTGAAAGAAAAAGGAACCATAAATGTTAATCCGAAAAGGAGATGCAGGTTGTGAGTGATAGTTAAACATGGAAAAAGTCCGGAAAGCTAGGCCCTTGGATTTAAATGAGATGGGGGATTTTATGGTTGGATATTAAATTTTAAAAGAAAATCTAAAGCAGTTTGAATTATATAAATTTAAAAATCAAATAATTACGATTGTAAATCGGTTTAAAACGTATTCAGACATAAAAACGTACACACCATTTTGTAGCTTAACTTTTCCTTGTTTTATTTTTATAAAAATTGTTTGCTCTATTTAAAAGTCCTGTGCATTTTACTATTTATATTTAAAACATTCTCAGAAGAATATAATTATTAAGTGTTTTCGCTGTTTGCGCTTCTGGCACCGTTCGCACGTAGCCAACTTTTTATAAGCCGCTTAGGAGACACAACTTGCCCCATTTGCTCGCTAAAAAAGGCGACAAGCGAAAGCGTTGCATACTTTGGCACGTTCTGAGCCGGGGCAAATGACATTTCTCTGTTCGCCGGAAATGCAGGAGCGGCGCCGACATTTGGCACGGACCCCTGCTCCGCCCCTGTAAGCAGCTTTGCATTATGGCCAAGGTATGGAATGTACAGGGGGGCGAAAGAAAGGCATGCAAATTTGCAGAGCACAAAAATAGCAGCTAAATCATTAGCAGGCCAAGTCGCTGCAGGAGCTACGATGTTACCTCCGGGGTCTGCTGGTCTTCTAGTGGCCATTAAACGCACACACACACACACACCGCGAATGGGCAAAGGCGTGAGCAATTTATGGCTTCAGTGGGTGAAAAGTGCATGCCAAAGGCAGGCCGACGGCCAGGTATTTCAATTAAAGTAAGTCGGGTGCCCGAGCCCCCTGTGGCCCATCCTGCAATTACTTTGCAGTCCTGGGGGCTCGCGTAAATTAATTTTAATATTTAAAGTTGTTGCATTAGCTCCAACACAAACTGTACAACTGTGAAGTAAATTCTTGAAAGAAGGGAGGTAGCCCACCCTCGCAGACTGTCAACTCTAGTTAAAAGTTTGCTGACAGCTCTTTGATGGATTGTTTTGAGGAGTTTCAATTGGGAACTTTCAATTGGTTAAGTTCATGCTGTTTGAGTTTGAATACCTTATGTTTTGGTAGAGAAACTGAAGATGTTCCTGTAAAAATGTAAACAAATTGTAGTTTGTAGTAAATGTTGTAGAAATGCCATAGTATTTAGCTTTAATTTAGCTTCAGTGCATCTTTATTTTCCTTTATTTCATTCACTGCAAACCTCTTGTAAAAATTGTTTAACTTGAACTTCCTTAACCGCTTTTTATCTAAGCCTCCATTTAAACTTTGTTAGCTTGAACTTTTTCCAAATAGATTTCCCCCACTTGCAATTATGCCAAGTTAAAAGTTTTTCACGTCCGCTCGTCAACTGCCTTTTGATAGAAATAATAAAAAATGTATATATATGTTTGTGTACTTTGTGCGAGTGTATTTATCTATAGAAATATTAAAAATGATTTCGCAACTTTTCACGTTTCTTTCTTTATTGTTGTTGTTGTGTCTTGCCGCCAACTTTTTTGCCTGAGAATGCCATGTAGCAGCAATGTTTAAAGTTTTTTTGTAACCAACAACGCCGACCCTCTTGGGTTTTCCTTGCCCTCCTTCGTTTTTCCCTTCAGTTTCGTGCTTGTTTTCTTTTCGGTTCTTTTTGGGGGAAACTTTGGCCGCGCTCCACAGTTTGCTCCTACGGCACTAACGCATTTCCCACGGCTTTTCCGGCCCGCTCCTTTGACTTTCCAGCGGACTACTTGAGCGTGCCGGCGGTGCAGAGCCTGCAGCCGCGGGCGGCGACGACTGGCCACGACTTTATGCTGCCGCTCCAGCCGAAGCTCCTGGGTGAGTGTGACTCGGGTCGTGGGTTTGGGGGTTCCTCTTCCCCCCAAAATAGAGGGTAGCCGAAGCCTCTTCCCTCCGGAGTCCAAGGCCCCGTCGAGTGGAAAGTTTTGCGGACAGATAGGCGGCAGAGGCAGGCAGCAGGGGCGGAGAGGTGAACCCGCAGCGCCAGTTGAACCCACTTGTAGCCACACACACATAGTTTGAGAGCCATTGTGCAGCCAGGACAATGGTTTGTGTCAGGTCGAGGGTCGGGTGTCACCGGAAAGTTATCGCGTCCTGGCAAAGGGTATTCCAAATCAGCGTCAGGCTTGAGACTGTTTTTGTTCCAGTTTAAGTTTCTAATATATATATTAATAGGCAAAAAAATTATAATTAAATTTATGTGACATTGAAAATATATTTCAAGGACATTTAACATTTGTAGTTCAAAGGGAAAACTCCATAATTTAACATTTACTTTATTTCTTAAAATATGCGTAGTCGAGTCACAAGAAACAAGACACATTTCTGTCAAATTAAGTTGCACTATAGCTCCTCAGAACCAGATAATAAATCAATTATATCCTTAAATATTTAACAAAGGGGTATTAAGTTTTTCTTTATGGGAAAAACGACATTAAGTATCGGAAATACCTTCATTTATTGAATATCAACACTTGAACATTAATTTCTCTTTTGGTCTCTTTTTCCTAAAACTTTAGATTCAGACTTAACTTAACCTTAGCATAGAATTTCATCAAACCAAGCACTTCCTTACACCTACACTAATTTTGAGACTTATTTATATAGTTTTAAAGTAAGATTTAATTTAAAACAAATTGGTTCCTTATTATAGATTAAAATAAATTTATAACTATCAACATTTAATTTCAAAATCCAAGGACATCTAGAAACATAGTCTTAGCCAGGGTATCTGGGGCCTCTACTACCTCCTATATCTCCGCTATAAAATGTGTGAACTCTTGGACCAAACACCCGAAGGCGGAAGTGCCGAGGACGCGAAGTGCTGGTTCATTCACTTCACGGGCCTTTACAGATGCCTGCACAATGCGGTGGCGATAAACCAATCGCAGACAGGTCCTCGAATGCACTTCCGCTTCCCGGTGCGCGTCCTTCAGAGATACTCAGCCGAAGCCAAAGTGTTTACAGTGGCCTTCTCTTGTCGTTTCTCCATCCCGCAGAGCGTAAGGATCAGCATCCGCTGCAGCTGACTGCCCACAACCTGGCCACGGACACGCACCAGATGATGTACCCGCCTCAGGCCCCGCCCCACAAGGCCCAAGTGCTCAATGTGCCGCCCACGCTGAGCATGACCCACAGCCAGATGCCGCCGGGCATGGCCAGCATGGGTCAGCGCACCCCGAACCTCAGCTTCCGTGCCTCCCACGCCGGCCAGTCCGCCCAGGTGGCCACGATCCAGCAGCCCATCCCGCACGCCCACGCCTGCCACGCCGCCACAAACTGCAACATCAAGATCTCGGTGGCCCCGGAGGAGCTGCGCGGGCCCAAGGTCACCCTGGTCGATGATCTCAGCGACGAGGTTTCCCCTTCCTCCACAGAAGACTGTGGGGACTGCTGCCTGGTGGAGGACAGCGACACCTATGACGGCGGTCCCACCAATAATGGTCTTCCCGGTGGCCAGGAGAACGGAACGGACAGTGGACTCCTCGACGCCGAGGAGGACGAGGATGGCGAGGGAAGCTGTGTGGGCGGCGATAGTGGGGATAGTCTGGGAGGGATCTACATTGGGCCCAGGCATTGATTACTCGCCTCAAGTGAGAGAGAACTTGGCATGGCTTAGGTGTTAATATAAATGCGTATGTACGTGTAATGTGAATGTCTCGTGAAATGTGCTACTCTAACTCTAAGTCGCAGCTACGTAAGAGGAAGTGTAAATCTCGAACGATTAGTTAATATTTAAGAAATTTTAAACCAAGGTCAATCATGCTCAATCTTTTATTCAGTTTTATATAATTTTTAACTAGTTTCTCAGTAAGGGAACTTTAGTCAAAACTAAAACATAACATTTCAAATAATTTGCACATTAAAAACACTTTCAGATTGGCACAGCTTAATACTAATTAAAATATTTCTTTAATTATTTCAAGGCAGTCAAGGAGTCTGCAGCTGATATGAAAGCTGAATTTTTTAGGAAATACTTAACTAAAACTACTAATTACTATTGTTGTCTACGGAAACAGCAAACTGTGAAAATACACTTTAAGCCTAGCCTAAATTTCACATTATAAAACAAGGATATAAATCCTTAAAGTGTAACATTCCGCTTTTGGTTCCCTAACTTGTAAATTCTATACAAAGGAGTGAGGATTATTCAACTGCCAGGCTATATATGGGCTTATTGATTAGTTTGCAAAACTAAGTTTAGTGCTGATAAAATTACATTAAACACTAGATCACTGCCTTTCCATGTTTAGCTCCTTTCCATTAATTTTAAGGCTGCAACTTCCACATGCTGGACCCATTTATCAGCAGTTTTAATCAATCTTTGCTCTCTGCGGCAAACAACATTGCTTGTTCTGGACAAGACAAACATCCGTAACATTTGTATCAGTGTCCTTATAACTGTCATGTTGACAACTGTCATTGGCAGCGTGCATGTGGGAAGAACACTCTGGATGTGGATGTGGGTGTGGGTCCTTATGCAGCCAAGCACGTCCGGGTGGAGTCCGGCGAACAAATAGGGACAGAGCAGGGACAGATACGGAGACGGAGGTTGAGAGGAGCTGCCCGCATACAAAGCAAACATATCGTCCATATAAATGCGACCACTTGTGTGCAGCCAAGCAGCAGGATCCTTCGAGAGAAGGAGCCTCTTCCACTTCCCGGACACATCAAGGTGTTTATTGTGCAAATCTGAGGACGAAACTGGCATGGCCACCTATAAAGTCGCACACTTGACTCTCGCACGCCTCCCCCGCGTTTTCCAGAGTCGCCTGAATCATGGCCAAAAGTGTCACCGGGCCATGTTTATCTGACACATTGACTGCCACCATTTCAATGAACTGGCGGACAAAAACTATGTCGACAAGTCGCACACAAAGGGCGGCGACAACCGAAAACTAAAATGGCGACGCCACTCGTGTCCTTGGTGTCCTGTCTGCGGCCCAGCACCCACTTCCCTTCCGGATGGCGGTTTGTGTGGTTGACCTTGTATATACATAGTCTTTTGGGGTCGCTGTTAAGTTTTCACTCCTCGACGTTCATTCCCATAAATGTTAATTGATTTATTTATAAGAGACGGCGAGGGTTGAACACAGCAACAGGAACTGTAAATAGTTGAGTGTGACAGTTGAAATAAAGAACAAAAGGAGAAGCTGAACATGAAGTTGGGAAGAAGTAGAAAACATATTTGACTTTAAATAAGGTTCAATGGTAATTTTTGGTCCAATACTTATAGTTTTTGATGTGGTAAAAAATGTTAAGCGAGAAGGCGAACCAAACTTTGATCCGAATTCATATGTGTAAGCGTAAGTTTCAAAAGTCGACAACTAGCTAAAGAAGAGATCGTATTTTAAGTAAATGTGAAATTAAATTAGTTGAGTCTCAGATCTTAATACAAATAGATATCAAGCCCTGACAATGCAGTGAGGGAAGTGGTTCCAACTAGTCAGTATAATCAAATCCGTTGGTCTGAATGTGTATCGTTCTAAATGTACTCTTGATTACTTAGCTAAACTCGAAATAAATTGTTTAATCATTGCCAAAAGAAGCACAATATAGTGTAAGTTGTCCCTAGATTCGGCTCGCCGACTGTACTGTTTTTTCTAGTTTAAACATAGAGTCCTTACTTTAAATTGTATATCGGAAATGTTGCTTTAATTACTGTTCAAATTAGATAAATCTCACGTGTTTTCTTATATTAAAAAGCCAAAACAAAAGACAAAACAATTTCAAAATTAGGAAAGCTCTGAGACGATTATAAAAAGTATATTGTTAATTCTTGAACTAAAATTGTAAGCAAAAGGTTACATTTGATTAATTCTACGATAACGGATATGAACCCTTTTGATATGCAAGAGACGCAGCACCAAGTCGTTGCTCAATGAAATATTGTTTCAATAGATTTAAAGTTAGTTTAAAAAACACCAGTGAGATACTAAACTAATATTAAACTTTTGCCTAGCAAATAACTAAGTTTAGGCCGGTAAATCCAAAGAAGAATCCATTGAAACCAAGAGAATAGGGAGACGAGAATCCCCTTGAATGAAATCACCCACCACAGACAGGCAACAGGAACCCGGCTGAACATCAGAATAACGCAACACACAATGAAACACAATTTTTGGACTATAACCTGTGTGTATATAGGTAATCTCAGACACAAACACAATTTGATTTCCTAAATGTCGAGTGCAGTGGAAAATATTTCTAGAAACAGAAAACCGTTTACAAGCAAAGCGAATTTTTAAATGTTGAAAATGAAACAGGCACAGGCAAGAAAACCAATGATAAAATCCCTTGAGTAAAAATAAATATAAACAGAAAACAAAAATGTGGTGTGCGAAAAATTCCAATTTTAACAGAAATAAAAATAAAAATTCTTTCAAAAAGCATTCAATATTTCAATGATTTCTCCACATGCGCGTCGCGCCCATCACCGTCATCATCATCATCATCCTTGCACACGTTTTCCAGCCAAACCAAGACACGTACCGCATTTTATGCTAATCAAACCGGGACGAAAAAGAAATTCAATTTCAGGCCCGCACACAGAAGCCACGGACAGGATTTTTAATTTAAGGGGCAAACATGATGCTCCGCTCTACCCCGCTCCGAGTGCGATTGCAAAGCCGACTCCCACACCCTTTCCGCTCTACCCCGCTCCGAGTGCGATTGCAAAGCCGACTCCCACACCCTTCCCACTCACATTTCATTTGGCCAGGCCATAAACAGAGGATCAGCTCCGAGGCCGCCCTCATAAGGCCATTTAGAGGAAAATTTATGCCTGCCACCTCTGCAATAAACTGGCCAAAAAAAAAAAAAAATGAATGAAAAGAAACGTAAACACACGGCCAAAAAATACCCTCGTGCGCTTGGAAATGGTAAACTGCAAGTGATGGCGTCTAATATAGACACTTAACCACTTACAACCAGGCCGACTCACCCATACTCCGGCAGCGCAGGACGATTTTGATACACATACACGCAGTTGGCACATCAAAGCGCAAATCCATTAAGCATTAGGCGAGAGTCAGGTGCGGAACTATGCGGGCCAAGATGGCTTTCAGTCGCGGTAAGTTCGAAGGCCGAATGCTCTGAAATTACACATATCTGTAAGGTCAGTACATTTTTACAGGGTGTTATTTGCTGGTACAAAAGTTTGGATAAGCGTCTGGCTATTGTAAATATTTTTTAATTTTAGGTTAAATAATAAAAGTAAATTATTAAGCCATTGGTACTCTCGCTAATTTATATTTCTTCAACTTTCATCGTTCTGAAATTAAATAAATAATTAAAATATATATTTTTTAGATTATTAACCATGCAATCCAGCTTAATAGCATCCCGGAGATAGGGTATCATCAAAAGTCCCCAGCTGGCAGTGAAGCGAGCAGGGCAAATCACAAAGCCCGCTACGTGAGCGCTCCCAGCCGAGTCTGGGGTAGAGTCAGCGGCAAAGGTATATAGGTATACTATATAGTAAAGGCGGAGGCGGGCTTATCTGCAGCGCCGCTCCCAGGAGTGTGCTAAAGCAGGGCGGCAAGAAAAACCGAGGGAGATGGCACTCATAAGCGGGCGCAAGATTAATGAGCACCACCTGCCTGCAGACAAATTAGATGGCATAATTCAGTGTGACCCGCACACGGAGCATATTTCTCGGGATAGGGATCGGGACTGGGATTGGGATTGGGATGCTGCTCGCTCATAGGTGTAGCGCCGCAGATCCACATCGTTAAGTGCTGGCAAATTTATGCAAAATAAATTATTTGCCAGTTTGAAACGTGCTGGAGAACAACAAAGGCGAGCGCAGCTCGAGTTAAAGCGAGGAAATGAAACCAGCCAGAGCGACCAAGCTCCTCCAGAATCCAGCATAAGCTGTTGATTTATGCCCGACTTGATAAAATGTCGCATATCCGGTTCCGTCTTGGCGCTCAGCCCCGAAGTGGCAGGCCCAAGAAAATGAAATACATTTTTTTTTACTTGCTTCCCCCCTGTGCCATTTCGACATTTCGGGGAAATGGCTGGGGCATCCCGCAGGGCTGAGGGGAGGCGGCAGCGAAGGCGATGTCTGCGATAAAAGCCAGAAGAAGTAATCAAAGTTAGCATATGGCGGCGATTGCTGCCTAGAAATGCATGGCAATCTCCAAATGTGTTCTCTGATTGTCTGCAACCCGTCTGACACGCCCATTTTTATTCATTTCCAGCTGCCGTTCGTTCGGTGTGTATTTGAGTTGTGCGAGTGTTTGTTATGGGCCCCGGGCCTGGCCGATGGGGCGTATGAGTAACGTTTCATGCGTTGAGTAATCGGGACAACTTCTCGGTCTCAGATGTGAACTCTTCACCAGCAAAATAAGTGCTTTACATCCGTAATAACTGGTTGGGCCTAATGTATTCATTATTTATTATGATGAGAGGCCTTTGTAGAATTTAAGAGTTTACTTTTATACATTTTCTTTGAATTACGTTTATGAAAAATACCAATCCTCCGCTTCCTCCTTAAACTAAAGCTCTCCGAAGTCGACACCAGTTAAGTTTTCTCACATTTTCACTGGCAGTCTGTTCCGCCATGAAAATTTATTGCCTTGGATTGTCCAAAGAGAAAAAATAGCTGTAGAGAGATTGGAAAGCTCTGACCGCATAAACGAGTCTTTGAAGAAGACATAACGCAAACGGAAGCACAGGACCTGCAAGGATTCAGTCGGAGTCACAGTCATCATCGTCATTGTCCGCCCTTCTGCGAGAGGACCTCCTGCCACAGCGCTTTTTATTGGCCAGCTGGCAAACCTGCAGGGTCCGGCGTCTGCCTGTCATGCTCATGGCAAAGTAGCACCGCATCATTCGCCAGGTAAGGCGGACATTCCGATATAAATTCCGGAGCATCCTGTTCAGGAAGTACATGCCTTCGGTGGCCTGCAGAACGTACCACAGCGCCGCTAAGCTCACCGAGCTAGTGATCAATCCGGACAGCCAGTAAAAGAGCCATGCCCGCTTGCAGCACGAGGAACCAACGACCAGTCTTTTCAGCCAAGAGGCCAGAGCAAAGGGAACACATCGCTCGGACCCTGCGACATTGAAGAGCTCCTCCAGCAGGGAGTACAGGCACCGCTCCAGGCCGCACCATACGATAATTGAGCTCAGTTCAACCAAGAAGACGGCGGCCACGATCTCGATCAGAATCTGCCAGCCGTGTGACATGTGCCTGAAGCGGCACGGATAGATGTCGGTGTCCCACAGGAAGCACAGCGTGGCCACCAGGAATATCCAGCTGGCCAAGGTGGGAGCCGGCGAGCAGTAGTCCTGCGGCTGGTCGAAAAACACGGCTAGCCCCAGAAGCTGAAACAAGGCGGCCAAGCCAACGGCCAAGGGTTCCATTTTTCCAGATGAACCTCTTTGGGGAATATAAAATCTTAAGAATTTAGAAATATTTCTCATGAAAATGTGACACTGATAGCTTTTTCAATGTAAAGGGTTCTTTCAAGACTATGTAGCTTCAATAAAATAAATGTATTTCTTATTTATTTATAATTAAAAACAAAATAACCTATATAGGTAATATTGCCTTTCATATCATTCTAATATGCTTAAAGTGCCGATTCAGTCGCCTGTCGCTTCTCTGGGTAATTAGCAAGCTCCAATCAGCAGCAGGAGCTTCAGCTTCAGGGGGACAACCCTTCAGAGGGGGGCTCATTATACATGTATTGCAATTAATTAGTGTTTGTCAAGCCATACAAAGCCACATACACAGCCACACACGCAGACCGAGACAGGGGCTAAAACTCAAACACAAACTCGATGTGCGAGCAAAATTAGTTTACCGAGACCCGCCCACTAATAGTCTCGCATTACGCGCTTATCTAAAATCAGTCAGCCCAGGCGGCAGTCATCCAAAAAAGTGCCAACAAATTAACATAACATTTACCGCAATTAATCAAAATTAAAGCGTCTCCATCTGATGCTCCCCCCCCCACACATTTGGCCATGTCAATGAACCGCATGAACAGACCCAGCGGCGCCCCCAAAAGCGTGCTAACAACCTCGGAATCAGTGTCCTTTGCCCCGGTGGCTGAAGAGGAGGGACGCCCGGCAAGGAGATGAATGGTTACCTGGCGGCGGCCGACTGCGAACTTGAATCTATCAAAGCCATTGGCAGCGGCTAAGTGAAAGTGCCTGGAACTGACAGAGAAAAAGAGCCTTGGGCCTTGATGCCTTGAACAGTGGGTCAAATCACTCAGGAAAGAGATTTAGTTGAGGCATATTAGGAAATTGTACTTAAATTCCAGGTAGTTAATCAAGAAAGGGACTCTAAACATTTTATTATTATTTACCTCCTTAATAATGTAAAAAATTAGGTGTTTAGATATTTTAAAAACTTTTAATTGTATAAATCAAATCAAATTTATTTATAATTAGCATCCCTCATAGTTTTAATCACAAAGTTCAAGTTTTCATAGTTCTTTGTCCTTAATTTTACCTATTTATACCACTGTACACACACATATTAAGCCCACTGATGAGTAGGGTTCATTCCTGTCAGGAGTTGGGTCCTGTATTTGCTTGCGTGTGTTCGTTCGGGTTCATCTTGTCTATTTAAAAATTGATTTGTTGTTATTTACATGCGACCTTATTTATTTGGGATATCTTTTTAAGCGATTTTATGCCGGCACCCGATAATTGTGTGTCCTTCAGGTCTTGTTGTCGCTGTCGAAAATCCAATTTGTAAGTGTCAGTGGCAGTTTTGTTGGCCCAGCCAGCGGGTGAAAAGGACGAGACAGATCCTGCTAGCCATTTTTTTTATTGGTGATTTCTCCACCGAAGCGAGAATCACAGTTGATTTCGGATGCAACAAGTTGGCATGGGTCAGGATTCGGGGACGGGAGCATGACTGGAGGTGTCACAGCATGACTCTTGTTATTGGAATACAAGGATGTGTTCATTTTGGAGTGATAGATAGGGGGACGCGCGTAATTGAAAGCATTGGTGTGGAAAAATCAATCAAAATTGTGGGCTTGACATTTGAACGGGTTTGGCTTGCCGGGGTGAAAATTCCTTCAAAGTAGTTGGAATTTTTTGGTTTAAAAAACATTTTTGAAGGCAACCAACTGGAATGACATTTGCATTAATATTTATGCAGGTCATAAAGAAAATGCCAACTAAAATCAACTGAGTGATGGATACTTATTCTTGATTAACACTAATGAATTATTAAAACAAAATTTGCATTCCTTGTGGGGGATTCCCCGACTCAGCAAAATACTAAATACTTCCACAAGAAGGGAAGCACTTATTTTTCAATTAAATAATAAATCATTCCAGGAAGAAGTAATGACTGCAACGGCGGCAGCAATTAAGCGTAAACAACTGCAAAATGTCTGGGGAGAATAATTTGCACTTCCTCGACCTGTCCGCGCCTCCTAGCCCACTGGATGTGGCAGGATGCCAGGGCGCCAGGATGTCAGTACCCCAGGAGCCAGGAGCCAGGAGCCAAGTCGTGCACTTAAAATTTCATATAATTTCGCACGTGAAACTTTAATGAACTTTTCACACTCATTACACATACGCACGCAAAGCGAGATAGGGACCGAAAAAGGATGTGTCTGCCGTTGGAACACCGAATAGAAAGCCCAGTAGCGTAGTCGGTATTACTCCTACATAGTAACCCCCTTAGCATGAGTGAAATTTGAGCTGAAATCTACATAATTTATGCCAATATCAAAGGTCATTTGTGTTTTAGACATATTAAAAATTGAAACGGAATTAATCTTTTGGGTCCGTTAAGTGAAATAATCTTTCAGCCCTGTTGATATTTATAATATATGTAAAAACCTGGTCTCAATTTTTTACTTTAAGTACTAAAATATTCACTTCTTGTTACTTTACACAGCCAATCCTGCCTTACTACGCCTCTGTGCCGACACGTTTGCAGTTCAAAGGAAAGAAACATACGGATAATAGGGCGTTTGTGGGGCAGGTTACCCCCAAATTTGGGGTTTCGGGTGCGGCCTTGTAACCACATGCATTGTGTTGAGTCTGCATAGAGAGAGAGCGGGAAAAGCGGTAGCGGAAAATGTGGATAGACCAACTTCTACCTAAGATTCCTGCAACAACAACCGACTTGACTTGTCAAATCGTGCGCGTAAAAGTTTTAGCCATGAAAAGTTTTCTGCAGCTACCTGAAAGGACCTCTTTTTTACCAGTTTATATGCCCTTTTTCCCGCCGCTGTAAGCTACACTGACATCTGGCAAATTAAACCGGGAATAAGTGGGGATTTTTTGATATCTCTTACAAATATGTAATAATATATTTATTAAAGAAATTTTAAAGTCTGCAGCTTATATTTCATTATACCCTTGCAGGGTATTATAATTTCAGTCAGAAGTTTGCAACGCAGTGAAGGAGACCTTTCCGACCCTATAAAGTATATATATTCTTGATCAGCATCAACAGCCGAGTCGATATAGCCATGTCCGTCTGTCCGTCTGTCCGTCTGTCCGTCTGTCCGTCTGTCCGTCTGTCCGTCTGTCCGTCTGTCCGTCTGTCCGTCTGTCCACCTGTCCGTTTCTACGCAAACTAGTCCCTCAGTTTTAAAGCTATCTGAATGAAACTTTGCATATAGTCTTCTATATACTCTCACTGCTATATATGTCGGAACGGGCCGGATCGGACGACTATATCATATAGCTGCCATACAAATGTTCGATCGATTTTTAGAAAAAAAATTATAACTTTGCTGTTTTTTAATATTTTTGCACCATATTTTAGATATGGCTATTTTATATTATTTCTGAATTTTGGTAAAAATTTTATGAAAATCGGACGACTATATCTTATAGCTGCCATAGAAACGATCGGGAAATTAATAGGAAACAATATATAACTTCGTTGTTTTTCAAAGTATTTTCATCTACTGAGGTATAAGCTTATTTTATTATTCTAGAATTTTGATATAAATTTCATGAAAATCGGACAACTATATCATATAGCTGCCATAGGAGCGATCGGTAGATGTAGAGAAAATGTAAAGGTGTGAATGTAAAACTGTAACTGTCAAACTGTAAACATAATAAGTATAGGTAAAATGTAATGAAATAATATCTGCAAGGGTATACAAACTTCGGCGTGCCGAAGTTAGCTTCCTTTCTTGTTTTAACTAAACTAAAACTAGTATGAATATTATTTAACATTCAATATTTTCAATATACCTGACATACCCTGTAATAATGGGCTGCTGCAGCAACAAAGTTGTCTGTCAGGAGCTGCATGTTGCACACGTGTCACGAGGCAAGGAAATAGAGCGGCATCCGAGGGCTTTTTACGTGCCGCAGTCGAAGCAGCCGGAGCGAGTTGTCAAAGGCAGTGCCATCAGTTCCGCTTCCGGCACACCCCTCATCACACCTCTGGTTACCCTGTGGCCCAGCCCACCCCTGGAGACAAATTGAATTCGTTGGAATTGTTGCAAGTCTGCGGCATACAAAATGCGGACAGGCAGCGGCTGCCACTGCGGCAGTTGGCGATTTGTTTGTGCGTCCTCTTCCTATGCTGGAAATCGCTTGATTTGCATTTCCCACCAAAGCGTCTTTCCCCACGTTCGCTAGGCCAGCTTCCAGCAGCCGTTGAAAATCACGCTAATTGTGGACACTGAAAACACAGGAAAATGTGGCTGAAATATGTATAAAATATGCAGCCATTTTTTTAATATTTTTAATTTTAAATAATGAAACTAATGGTTGAAAAATCTTCCTAAGAAGCCTTTAAATTAATGAAATAATTTTTTAAACCTTAAAGAAGGAACATAATCCCTGAAGACCTGTCTTAATATTTCTAAATATAAATAATATTCCTCAAAATAAACACAATAAAATTGAATTTTTTTTCAGTGAGCATATTTAGGCGCACTGCAGTTGCTTGAGAATCTGATGTTGGAATTTGCATTAATTGGAATGCATATAGTCAATGAGGCTTGAATACGAATACAAGTCAAGCTTTTGGCAAAACCTGCAATATCTCTGGAATAGTTATTCGGGTATTTACATGCGAATTGGAACACTTTAACCACTATTTAAGTCTAGCTGCCGAAATCAGCCGCAGGATGCTTGCTTTGTGATGCAAATCTGACAACTCTTTGTCATGACACCCCTACCGCCGCCATCTGAGTCCTGCCAAAGCCTGCTTTCGTCCTGTTTGGTGACAGGCCACAAACACAAACAAAAGTCAATGCTCGCAGCTATTAGGAAAACAACAACATGGCCAGAATCAACATGGTCCACCCCAACACCGCCCCTTGGCATCCTTGCAATAGTGAAGCAAGTTTTTGCCAAATGAAGGATGAACACAATGACAGAGACTGCTGGCTGCCCTGTCGTCCAGGTGTGTCCCTCCCACCCACAAGCAGAAAAAACACCTTGCATAATTTATATGCTTTTCCATTTGCAGCCAGGAGTGGATTAGCGGAGGAAAAGGCGAGGAAAACTGC